CCGCCCGCACCGATCAACGGGTCCATGAAAGGTCCTTCTTTCGGCAGTGCTGGGGAAAGCAGCTCAGGAGTGGAAGGTTCTCAAGCTGGCGCACTCACTCATTTGACCAAGGGTCGAGCTAGAGGGCCAAAGAGACGCCTGCCCCAGGGTACTACACCGGAAGGTACGAACTCACTCTTTGATGAAAGCAATCATGTACCAGAGTCTCCGCCAACACCTTTGGATGCACAGAGACCAGAATCGATGTACTCGGAGACGGAGGAGGAAAGTGATGCACCGGATATGCCAGCACATGTGGATGTAGAAAAAGCCGAAGACATGCCATTGCACACGGAGACGACACATGCTTTAGAACCATTGACATATATGGAAGAAAAGATCCCCGAACCTGCGAGTCCAGTCCACGAGGCTATCACGCATGCACCAGAGCTTCCGGAAATTGTGGGAAATCCAGAACCTGAGCCCCTGAGCCCACTGCAAAAGGAGAATACTAATACCCCAGAGCTGTCATCACCCATTGATGAGGAACCCCAACCTGATAGCCCAGTGAAAGAGGAAATGAACTATGGACCCGAACGTTCAGCGCCTGTCCATAACGATGAACCCGAGCCTACCACGGAATTCCAGGAAGAGATCCACGATGCACCTGTGCTCTCAGCACCCAAGATGGAGGAACCTGAACCTGCTAGCCCAGTCAATGAGGAAGAGAACGATGCACCTGTGGTTCCAGCGCCTATTGATGAAATTGAATTTGAACCCGCGAGTCCATTCCAGGCAGAAGCTCACGATGTTCCAGCGCTCTCAGCACCCAAGATGGAGGAACCTGAACCTGCCAACCTAGTCCAGAAAGAGAACGATACACCCTTGGTTTCAGCGCCTATTGATAAGGATGAATGTGGGCCTGCGAGCCCACTCCGGGCAGAAGTCCACGATGTTCCAGTGCTCTCAGCACCAGCCGATAGAACCGAAACCGTGCCCGCAAGCCCGATCCGCGTGGAGGTAAACGATATACCCGTGGTCTCAGACGAACTTGAGCCCGCAAGCCCACTGCTGGAAGCAGACCTCGATACACCAGCGGGAAAGGATGAACCTGAGCCTGCCAGCCCGATTCGAGAAGAAATAAACGATGTACCGGTGGTTTCAGCGCCTGTTGATTATGGTCTACCGGAGCCTGCGAGCCCACTCCAGGAAGAAGTCCACAATGCACCGGTAATTTCCGACCCAGTGGATAACGATGAATCTGAACCCGTGAGCCCGATACACGGAGTCAACCCGGCGCCAAAGTTCTCGGCGCCCCTGGAAAAGGAAGCCACACCTGCCTACCCAACCTACGAGGAGAACAGTGATGCACTAGTGCCCCCAGCACTTATGATGAAGAAGAAGTCTGAACCTGCAAGCCCAATCCAGGAGGAAATCAATGGTACACTGGTTACCTCAGCGTCTTTTTGTAAAGATGAACCTGAGCTTGTGAGCCCAGTCCAGGAAGAAGTTCACACTGCACCGGTGCTCAATGCACCTGCGGGTATGAGTGGTCTTGATGCTACGAGCCCGAACCAAGAAAAAGCCAATGGAGCGCCAGATCTCTCGACTCTTTTGGAAAATGAAGAGGCCAAGCCTGCGATCCCAGTCCGAGAAGGGAGCATTTATGAGCCCGAGCATTTAGCTCTTGCGGATGGCGAGAAATCTGAGGCTACAAACCTAGCTTTCGAGAGCCCTGACGCCTCGGGACTGCCAGGACAGGCGGAAGAGGCAACACTCGAAGTTACAAGCCCGATCTTGGAAAGGAAAACTTATGTACCACCGTCACCGGTCCATATGGATACCATAGAGACTGAAGCTACAGGCCCGGTTTACGACGAGACTGATGAGGCCCAGGAGATGTCGGCCAGTGAGGACGAGAATAGGCCTTCATCGTCAATATTTGGGGTGGACGAGCCCCCATCGGCCTCTTTGGATGCGCACGTTCCCGAGCCCATGGTTTCTGCCGCAGAAGAGAAGAATGGTGTTCTGAGCCCCCCTTCGCCAAAAGCAGAAGAACCCGAAACCAGAAGTCCAGCTCCTGAGGCGGGTGATGCAGTACCGAACTCTCCATCAGACCTCTCGGTTGCACACGAGCCAGCACCTGCACGCCCAACCTCGGTCGACACCATTGGTACTGTGAAGTCTCCATCATTGGATGCAGAGTTCGAGCTTCCCAACTCTACGTCAGAAGTACCTGAGGCGATCCCGAAATCTCCTGCATCTACTTTGGACGCACAGAGGCCAGAAGCACCCGTCTCACCCATTGGCAGTCCTGTGGGAGCCTCCGGCGGCTGGCCCCTCCCTAATACGGAAGTCAAATCCAATGACGAACCGCAAGCGAGCCCGAGTCAGCTTGACACGCCAGCAACAAGCAAGCCGACTGAGTTCAAGAGGAGCATCCCTCGTTTGATAGAGAGAGAGACCCCGCAGAAGCCCGATGACACGAGCCCTAAACCCTCAACAGTGTTGGATCAGACTGCTACCAATATCCGAGAGAATGCCAGCGCATACTTCAAGAGTATACGAAGCTCACTCTCGGCAAAGCCTCCTTTGCCTCCGAAAACAGCCCCACTGCCAGCAACACCTGTTTCTAATCAGACACGGGCTTCGCCAACTCACTTTTCTTCACCCTCTCCTTCGCCTTTGAGGGCAAGCCTCCGGGACAACCAGAGTTATACTCATCCAACACAACAGAGGTCCGCGTCCTCGCTCTTTTCCACCATAGGTTCACGCAACTCGTCGCCACGGGATAAAGCTTTGCCTTCTCCTCCGGTTCCTCCTAAGGGGTCCAGGGCCTCTGTTGACCGCTTCTCCTCGAGATCTTCAACCTCTCTTGTACCTCAGGCCGATGAATCTTGGGAAGCCATATCTGATTTCTTCAAGACCTTCCCAAAATCGAGCGACCGTGTCAACATTGATACGCAGTTGATGCTAGCAGATAAGAGCGACAATGCCAAGATCAGGACTTTGAAGAGACAGTTGTGGGAGATTACAGGAGATGGAAAGAAGCAGGATCTTCCTGTCAACCAGGAATACATCTTGTATGAAGGAAGCATGTACCTGTGCGTGCATCTTTTTGAGGCTGATGGCACTGTACGCTCTGAAGTGCACCTCTGGTGTGGTGATGATGTCCCCGACTCCGCAGTCGATGATGCGCAGGCTTTCTCTCGCAAAGTCGCCAAGGATAATGGGTCCAAGCTGGAGGTTATCAAGCAGGGCAAGGAACCCGCTCGGTTCATTCAAGCTCTGGGGGGCATTCTAATTACTCGCCGCGGCTTGAGTTCTCGCTCTAGCTCCTCCGCCATCTTCATGCTCTGCGGGCGCAAGCATTTGGGTCAGATGGTCTTCGATGAAGTCAGCTTCTCGCCAAGCAATCTGAGCTCCGGCTACCCCTTTGTGATCTCTGCGATGTTTGGCAAGCTCTTTCTCTGGAAGGGCAAGGGCAGCTCCGCCGAAGAGATTGGTGCTGCGCGCCTGATTGGCATGGACCTTGGGCTAACCGGTGAATTTGAGGAAGTGGCTGAGGGTGAGGAGCCAGAGAGCTTCTTCGAAGTCTTTCCCCACTGGGAACGAGAGACAGGTGATACCAGCACCGACTATTGGCGTGTGAAACCCAACCACGAGCGATATCGCTCGCGGCTTTTCCGTATCGACCACGAGCTCGGCCAACGTTCAGGGTTCTGGCTGCGTCGTTCAGGCTCGCCTTCTCCGGTTATCCGGCCCAATGACACTGTCCAGGAAATCGAGCCATTCTGCCTCAAGGACATTACTGCCAAGGGAGTCTATGTTCTTGATACCTTTTTCGAGATCTATGTGTATGTGCCCGTTTCCTGTTCTCACCGCCCGACTGCTAACATTCTTCCCTTGATTAGGATCGTGGGCGACCAAGCTTCCAACCGACCCGCCGAGTTCGCATCTGCGGTAGTCCTTGCGCACGAATATGGAATTCTCACCGCATCGCTTCAAGACCGACCCTTCATTCCGAAGAGCTTTGTCGCCCTCGGAGGAGTTCCGGAGTCTTGCAGCACTGCGTTCCGAAAGTGGATCCCGGGCTATCCTTCGCAACGCCTTCCCCAAGTGTTCCCCCTCAATGCGGCTATCGAAGCGATTCGGTCCGTTTAATCTTCTTTTCTCTCGGCTTTTCATTTCTTTCTGGGAGGTGTCCTCTCCTCTTGTGGTATACTTTTTCTTCTTCTGGTTTCTGGCTGTGCATAGCGATTTCGCGGGGTTTTACATGTGCATATACTAGCTCGGCTGGGTCTATCTGTACAGAACTGGGGACTGAGATGGCATGGGATGGGAAAGTGGAAACATTGCTTTTTGAAATTCCAAGGAGCCTATATGGCGGGGTGTGTATGTGGCAGTCATTTTGTGCATATCTACATGACTGTGTGCTGGGAGTTACGGTTGCTGTTCACTTATTCTACTTTTTCCTTCTTCGCTTCGATGAAGATATTGGCACTGATTCCGTGTACGATACATATTGCCTCAATATAGAAAGACTCCTACTTTACTTAAGACAGGAGGTGAGATGAGACCCGAAGCCGGACCTCGCCGCCAACCGTCGTCCAGTCTGCTGCTCTAGTCTTTTCTTATTAATTGCTAAGGCTACTAAGTACTGGCTTTCTTTATATGAGGGGAAAAAAGAGAATCATAATAAGGAGGTTTGGCGAAAAATTGTAAACTGGACTGGACAGAGCACTTTCTCCTTTGCAGCTGGTCAGCTGGAATAAAGCAACGCAGGGGATTATGATTGGTTGACCCTAAGTAACTGTGGTATACTACGTTATTGCCTCAATTACCGTTGTCTACCTCATTTTTCAATTTTTAAACAAGATACCCCCTTCCCTTTTCCGTCTTATTGCATACATAGAAAGAAGAACCATTGGATTATTCGTATCCATACCTGACCTGTCTACTTGCTCGTTGAGAGAAATATCTGTATGAGATCTTTTTTGTGATTAGCCGGCTCTGTTTGCTTATTCCGGGGTTCTCAGCTGGACTTCTGACGAGTAGTAGCCGATTTGACTCAAGATCACTCCGGTTTTCGCATATTTGTTGTTGTCCCCTTGGTCACGGGTCTCGGAGTTATGGCACTCCGTGTCGACGAGCATCGGTCGATGTCCGGAAGGAAGTGTATTCGTTTTCTTGATCTGCAAGATGTGGAAAAGAATGCGCGTCTCTCCCTCGGTTTGGCTGCCTCTACTCCGTAGGTTGGCCAGTATTTTTCCGAAGCTCTCAAGAGAAACATCTGGTGGGCAGAGTTGGTCGAAATACTACATACATAGCTGGTATATCGTCACGGAGTTTTGTCGGTGGAAATGATCAAAAAAAAAATTTTTTTAAAAAAAAAAAAGAAAAAGAAAATAGCCCTGTGGCCTTCGTGGCAGCCACGAGTGGGAAACAGAGCGTCGGCACGTATACGTACGTACGTAGGTATGTACCATTATCCATTGGGTAGTTTGACAATCCAGCATTTCTGCGCGATCATGCTCTTCGGGGCCGAGGAGAGGTGTTGCCTGCCTGTCCCGAAGAACTACAGTTAGTATCCCAGCATCAGCACATCAGCACTAAGTACTACTGTACCGCGGTGTGTTTTGTAGTAGACCAACCAGAATCCGCCCGGGCTCTTTGCCATATGGGAAGGGCTTACTCACTTACTCAATCCCTGCCGCTCACTCAGGTTTAGAGGGGAAAAAAACCAAGGAATTTTCATTCATTGATCGTCCATTGGCTTGGCTGGTTTTCCATGGATTGAATGAAATTGAAAATGTAAAAAGAGATCATGCTAGGTTATGTCATGCAATGCAGGTGATGCCAGGATTTGCCTGGACATGCGGCAGGAGATTTGGGATGTATAGACTTGATGGAGAAGTTTCTCACCGGCTTTTGTGTTGCGCGCTCTATCAAGTTTATCTCTTTGGTTTTTGCCTCCCAGTTGAAGTTATGTGTCCGTTATTCGGTGTTGTTGTCGGTGTGTCTGTGTCATCAGGAGGATCGTCATGGGACCATATGGACGCTGTGCCATCAGGATGGGGAGACAAATATCTGGCGGAAGGGCAGAAGTAATGGTACAACGACTCCCATGATCATAACAATAACAATAACGATAACAATCAAGGAGATAGCGGGAAGAATGAATGAAGCACAAAACGAATGAGTCGCACTGAAAAGTCATCAAGAACGGACGGGGGAAATAGGGAAAGAGCGTAAAGTCACGTTGCCGTGATTGGCTCCATTTGGCAAGAGGCCGGGCATCAATCCGTCACTTCTTTCCTGTTCGGTTGCTTCTTTTTCGTGCTTCGTTCCATCTGCAATTTCTCGTCTTCCAATCCCGATTTCTCTCTTTCACACACACACTCTCTCTACCCTCCCGTCTTCGGTCCATTTTATGACATCTTTACGATTATTTTCCATTCTTTCTGATGTTTACTGCCTAAATCCCGGACGATGCCCAGGCTTGATCGACGGGATGAGATTAACCTTCAGCAGGGGTGACAGTCAAAAATGACCTATCCTGAATGCCCCGCGCATTGCCTGCGCCACAGTTATCCCCAGGACGTTCCTGATGTTTGAATTCAACAATTCTTGACGGAAGTTTATTTTCAGTAGGGCAAATTGGAGGGGGTAAGGTTAAGCAGACGGAGAAATCCACCATAACCACCACCACCATAACCCCTCCGTTCAGGTCCATGGCCCTGCAGGTGAGCGGACCTTTTTCTTTCCCTGCAAGTCGCCCGTGCGGTTTGACTTGCGCTCACGCAGGATCCTCGGACCCCCTCAATTCAACGCGGGTGAAAGAGGGGAAATCACATCAATGATCCTCCTGCCTTGCTCTTAGTCCTCCTGCTAAAACTCTTGAGGGTGTTATCGGATCCCCTGTGGCCCGGGCTTGCCTGATCTCGTATCGACTCTCTGAGGCAACTCCCTTGACACCATGTGTGGCCCGAAGGTGACAACAATCAGAAATACTGCAAGAAAATAGGATGGAAGCAACATTCTTAATCAAATGTAATTCCAATATATCCATGTCCATGCCATGTTTTTTTTTCCCGCTTCCTTTTCGGTAGCTGGACTTCAGTCACGCTTTCGATACAGGTCAACATGCACGGATACTTTTTTTTTTCTCTATTCCCTCTCTGCCGGACCCGAGCTCGTGCAGAGATGCAATAAGCGCACGCCGTGCAACCCCTCTGCACCTTGCAAGTCAACTGCAGCCTGATGCGCTGACGCTTACTCAATGTTTATTACACTTCTGTCACCAACAATGCCATTGCACGCATCCTCCCAGTGACCTGGGGCGGGGCATCCATTCAATAGATTGGCATCCCAATTTCTCCTTATTTTCTTTATTATTATCTTTCAGGTGATCTTTTGACAAGGCTTATTATCGTGCTGCTATCAATTTGACATGATAGCAACGCCACACACCATGAATGGCCTTGCTGATATGACGGGAGTGGACCATAGCAATACTTAGACCCCCAGACCCTGTTTTAGACCGTCTACTTACAATACTGCGCTTACAAAGCTCAGAATGATTTACTAGCTCTGCCGATGAACAAAAGCATTATGCGGCTTTTCTTGACTGGATGGAGGCCACCCGACTTTGCCGCGCTCATTTTCTTTTAACATAATTATTTTTAAGTGTGCTGCACGTCTCTTGCTTACTACTAGACCGAGTCAAGCAGAACATGCCTGTGCAGGTGATTGCCCGAAAATTTGCGGGAAAAGGGAAAAAAGAAAAACCCAAAAAAAACTAGTCAATGCAGAAAAAATGGAAAAGGGAAGAGAGAGAGAAAAAAAAGGTTCGAATTTGGAAGGAAAAAGCAAGTGACAGCCCACACCATTGGGCTAACGCCGACTCATCGCCCTTGGCGTAACGCTGAACTCAGCGAAAAGCACGCGCTCGTCGATTGCATGGGCGGTAGTCAGAGTGTTAGTGAGCCGGTCATCCGTGTGCCAATGGCAGCTGGCAAATCATTCGATACGCGCCTGCCAGACAGACCTGTGGTATCAATGTTTCCCTCATCGGCCCCGAGCTCTGCCTGAGACTGCAGCCCCGGTCCTCCTGTGCTATGGCCATGTCTCACCCAGCAGCACTGACAAGAGAGAAAACAAGAGGACAGGCGAAGGGTAGGAGAGATACGGAATACGGAAGCGACAAGTCTGTCGCAAAAGAATGACGCGACGAGGCGAGTACCTGACTGTTTACCCTTGATGCTGAAGGGCCACCACTGGCATGGCGCAGGAAGGTCAGCTTGAAGGCTCATTTCTGCGCTTCGCTGCCCAAATGACCAGGATTGTGCCCGGCTAGTGCCGATGAGCGGTGCCATGGGCATTCTCTGGTTCTGACGGCTCGGACCGTCGACAGGCATGACTGCTGGCGTGTCTCGCGCCAGCAAAATTGGAGGGGAAGTGGTGGTGGTCACCTGTATCAGCAAACGAAAACATAGAGGGCTTTGTCAAGCATCTCTATCCAGATATGCGGGGACCCCTGGGTGTACCTGCTAGGCTGCCACAGCCACAACGGCCTGAAGGACGTCGAGCGACCGGTGCCGGTTGATATCGTGACAGGCGGCTTTTCCACGTCACCATCGCAGTCTTTCTCAGGCGATATACGTCTCGTCTCGTCTCGTCTTGTTGTTGTCGGAGGGTGGGGTAGCAAGAGTCCAAGGGAGGTGCGGGGCATTCGATATGCAGGCTGGCATAAAATGATATCAACTTGATTGAATTCCTTCAGAAGACAAGTCAAGACATGCCCTCTCAGCCTCCTCCGCTGTCACATCCCTCCCTCCCCTTCCTCGCACCCCTAGCAATTATCTCGCACCCCACCTGCTTGCTTTGCTTTGCTTTGCTCCAAGCAGCTGCCATTCATCATCTACTTACCCCTCCCCCTCCTTTTCCTTTTTCTTTCTCTCTCATCTGCAACCTGCTACTTATCTTTTAGTCAGGTCTCATATCACTATCAAGACCCCTCTCTCGTCTCTGTACTTCTTATTCTCCTTCTTCTTTCCCCCTCCATTCCTCTTCTTCTCTGTTCCTTCCCTCTGAGCGTGTGCGCAATTGTTCTTTTTTCTCATCTCTGTTATTAGTTTGACTGCACACCAGCCCTCCCCTGCAAGATGTCGAGGCAGCCTAAATTGCGACCTAAGTCGCACATCCCAGGCCTCCCAGACGCCATCTACAATCTCGCTGCGGTATCATCTTTGTCGCAACTCGAGTCTCGCGCAGGACTAGGAGATGAGAAGCATGACCAGCGCGTCTTTCGTGTCAAACGCAAGCATGTGTTGAAGGCTTGCGATCGTTGCAGAGTTAAGAAGACCAAGGTTGGTGAAGTACTGGGTTCATCTTTGTCATCTTTCGCCTCTACCTTGGCCTCAGTGCACTTCGATGGCCAGCCATGCTCATTCATGCTAGTGTGATGGGAAACAGCCGTGCAACCGTTGTTCGGCCTACAATCATCCCTGTCTGTTCCGGGAACGGAAGGCGACGCAGACCAAAGTATACTCTCGAGGGTAAGGTCATGATTTTTACTCTGCGTTATTTGGTGTGCCTCTTTTTTTATAGTCTGTCAGAACTAACCGGTGGCTGTGCGTGTGGATAGATTTGTCGAGATGCTTGAATCCCACCATTCGCTGGTTGTTAAGGCGCTCCAAAGGCTATACAAACTATGCATTGATAAGGAAGGGTTCCCCGGCGAGCCTCTCGTCGAGCTCTCGGACGGTCAGCCTCTAACTCATGCTATCCTGGATCGTCTCGGATTGATCAAACAGGCCGAAGAGAATCCAGAGGAGCCCGAGGAAGACACTGAAGACCTGCGGTACCTGCGGTTCCTGTCCACCTCAACGGACTGCAGTGCTACGACGGATCCTTCCCCAGAACCAGCCACTCCTCCGGATCCTACTCCCAATAGTTGCAGTCCTATCACTCCTACCTCCTCCAAGGGACCAGAGCCTTGGAAATGGGAGTTGCAACCTGTCCAGCCCCTTCACTCGGGACAATATCATAGTTACGGTCAACCTGGATACCACCAGATGACGTTGACGCGAACAAACCTGGAGCCACATGGATTCTCAAGTGAAGATAAATGCCCAGAAGTTGTCCCTTCTATGGCCGATCATGGACATCCCCTCTATTACTACATGGCTGCCGGCTGTAATGAAGGGCCCCCCAAAAGCCGCCTAGAAGCTGGCGTGGCAGCCAGGCCAGGCTCGCACCAGCCCGCCACCGCATCGGGATTTCCTGTGGTCATGATGAATGACTATAACCTCCATTTACCGGAGCATCAGCCCGTTTACCCAGCTCTTCCATCTGGCTGGACATATACATGTGGATAGGGGTGGTCACATATCATAGTATCTCTATCAAGTGACTGCGGTCCTTTTCATACTCTATTCTACCCACTTTCTTTCCACCGGGTCGGCCTTCTGTCGCCGTCCATCTCTCGTTCGTTGTACTTGCACATTACACAGGCCGACAGCCATTCTTGGCCGCCTATTTTGCTTTCTATTTAGTATGTATCGTGCTGCGTACGGTTTATTGTTTTCTATCATAGTCCTTTATGGAGTACCTGTGAAACTCTCGGCAAGGTTTATTCTACATCATATCATACCCGGCACGGCGTTTTGATCGGCTCAAGCTAGCCGAGACAGGATAATTCACTGACATGTACAAGCAAGCAAGGTCACAGGCGTTGAGGGGTTGTTCCTTGACCTTCCTCGACTTATGCGTTCGTTACTACCACTAGATCTGGGCCTATGTAGGCCTTTACTTCTTTTCACTTCATATATGGAGTCTCTCTCTCGGACTTGATACACCGACTCTTTCTTACTCTACTTTACTCTACTCGCACTTCCTATCTTCTTTCCTTCTTTCTCGTTTCTGGTCACATTTCTTTTCTCTCTTCTCAGATATCCCAGAACAGAACAGAACAAAGAAGTGATAAGCGAGCAGTTTACTACACCATACATACATACATACATATACAACATGCATGACGCATTAATAGGAAAAAGAGAACAACTCCTCAGCATTAGAGCGTGACTCGGCAGCGATGCACGTACAATGATTGAATCGAACAAACAATAAAACAAATCATCCATTAACACCACACCACCCCCATAAGAGCTAACCAGTACAGCAAGTGACTTCTACTACTAAATTTACTCAAAAAAATCTAAGCAAGGGGCCTCGTACTAGTTTGCTAGTTTATTTAAGGCGAAGGGTGCTGACTCGTCCACTACCTACTACCTACTGTAGCCTCATATGAAGATGCCAAGCCAGCATGCAAGCCACACTAACATGTTATGCAATTGCCCCACCACTGCAGTTGAAGAGTTGATTTGATAGTAAATAAAACAACAACACACTGCAACCAAAGAACACAAAACACGAATAGCAGACTGAATAAGGAAAACTACGAGTACTTAATTACAAGCAAATCGTTTCCACCGTAGTTCATCACAAATAAGTACTTACCCATATGAACCAAATTACAACTACTACCCAACTATGGAATAACCAGAAGGGGAAGAACAAGCATAATGAGAACTAATCACCATGAAATTATAAATGTATGAAGAGATAAATGATACTACTATAAGACAAACATTGAGATTGCAAATATGAAAATATTCCCTGCTTTCACTGCGAATATGCTATGGTATGGTATGTAAGTTATATAAGATGATAATACAAGCAACAGCAACAACAACAACAACATGATGCAAATGCAAAGAATTGCAATGATACTCCATCCAAATGATGAGATACACAAATCACCACGAATTAACAAATGATTCCTTGGATGTTGTAGCTAATGAAAAAAAAAAAAAATAATAAAAGGAAAATAGAAACTCCCGTAGTATAGTTAGTAGTGGTAGAAGTAGTAAGTATCCCGTAATAAAATGAGTTTGGTATATTCTTTTTTTCTTTCATTCTCTTCTCTCTTCTCTACTAAATCCACACTTATCTGCTTTAGTCATCAACATCGGTCTCTGTGTTCGTGTCGCTGGTATCTCCTGCATCTCCGTCGGTATCACTTTCGTCATCGTCGCTGGAGTCGTCAGAGGGCTTCTTAGTCTTCTTCTTGGGTGGTTGGCCGGTCTTGAGGGCTTGCATTTGGCCGGCTATTGAGTCTGTAGATTATTTCGTGGTTAGTATAGGTTGTTTTATCTTGAGAGTATGGGTTAAGGGGGTGGCTTACCCTCGTCAGGTTCACTGATATCATCCTCCTCATCCAGAGCGGCCGCCTTGGCCGGATCGTCAATGTGAAGGGTGATTTCCATCTTGGTATCGAGACCCAGGTGGCTATCACAGAGCATGTTCATGACGAAAGTAAAGTCACCGACCTGGGGAGGAGCCTGGAACTGCATCTTGAGAGTCTGGACGTTGAAAGTGGGCTTGCCGTCGGCGTCGAAGAGGGGCTTATCGAAGGTAGTGAAAGTGAAGGGAGGAACGGCCATCTTGCCCTGCTTGGCGTCGGCCAGGAAGATATGCCACCGGGGCGAGTGGTCGCGGGCCAGGTAGGGGGCGTGAGCAAGGGGAGGCTGAATGGCTTCGACCTTCTCTTCGACCTTGACGCCGTTGACGAGCTTGGTGGTCTTGTTCTTGGCGGGTTTGCGGCCCATGATGGCGTCGAGGTCATCTTCGTCGGGGTCGATGTCTTCGAGGTCGATGGGGTTAACTGGCGGGACGTCTCCGCTGTATCCAGGAGGGATGAAGCGGGCCTTGACGACCAGCTGGACGAGACTGCTAGGAGTGATGACCTTTTCGCCCATGACCTTGAAGAAGGCACGGGAGACTTCGAGAACGGGGAGCTGCTTGGCAACGGTAACGGCGGAGGTATACTGCTTCTCGGACATGAGGCCGGCACCGACAGTGAGGCTGCGACGCTTGTCTTCGGGAATGCTCATGAACTTCTGGACGGTGAAGTGTTCCTTTGCGTCGGCGCCTTCAACAGACTTGACGACTTCCTCGGTGAAGTGGGGGAGCTGCAGGAGAGGGGACGAGCCAGGCGCAACAGCTTGGATGAGATGCTGGGAGGTCCGGAAAGAACCCAGGATGGGTCGGACGTTACCGAATGCCAGAGCGATTGCTGTGAAAGCTTCATTCAGCGACAGAGCGATCGGTGCAGCTTCATACTTTTCTGTAGGTACATCAGTGTTAGCCGATTCTAAAGAGACGCATTGGATGCAAATTCACGTACCTCCGTTAAGTGTACTGTCTTCCAGGTCAACGCGGCCAAGGTAAGCCCACAGCAATGCCAGAGCCTTGCGTCTGCTAGATTCGTCCAAACCCTTGATGATCTCGCGGTCCTCGGGCGACAGGAAAGTGGAATCCTCAGCCAAAACCTTCTTCTCGAGCTTGGCAAGTCCAGCATCCGTTTTAGGTCCCTGAAGCATTTCCTTGAACTCTGCGCCGGAGGAAAGGGCGTTGACGATGCCGCCATCGGTGATGTCCTCTTTATATTCGCGGAAGATGTTTCCGGCACTTGCGACAAGAACCCGTTCCTTAGTGTAGCGTTGGGAGCCATACCACCATTTTCCGACAATGTAGGGCAGCAAAACACCAAGCAGTGCACCGTAGACCAGCAGAGTGTACTTGGAGTTACCCTCCGAAACGATGAACGTGGGCAGAGCGATACCGATGCTCATGCTCTGCTTGCCATCAGGGTGGCCATACTGGATGTAGTTGTTGCGGATTTCCTCGTCGGTGAGCGCCTTGTATGCCTTGGTAAGCTCAACGAAACGTTCGTTGAGCATCTCAATAGTCTCATTCTTTGCGGGGTCCGGCCGAATCTTGTCAGGATGGTAGATAAGTGAAAGGCGCTTGTAGTGTCTCGAGATGGCTTTCTCATCAGCGCTCTGTAAGTCGCCATAGTTAGTACAGCTACGTAACCTCTTGGTGGAGGCGACCAAAACGCCAGGTGGACAGATTGAATGCTCACCCTTGAAACACCCAGAATGTCATAAGGGTCCCAAACTTTGGGCACCGTCCTCGCGGTGACGACGATCAGATAGGCCATCCACGCCATGACAGCGTAACCCACGACAACGGTGATTATGCGCTTAATGCGGCGCTCTTTGCGCAGGCGTTTGCGCTTCTGCGCCTCAATAAGCTCTGCATGTTCTGGCTTGAACTCGGATTTTATCCGGGGAGCGGTGTTTTCGAGACCTGCAGCGAAATGGAAGAATTAGTACCAATCGCAACCTTTCGGTGGAAATTTGCGAGTGTCTAGAGGGTATAAGGCTGGTACGAACCCTTGCTCGGCCGGAGAAGGTTATATGTGAGAGGGAGTGTGACGAGACTGGTGAGGGTCAGGACAAAGAACGGGAAAAATTGTCCCTGGTGAAAAAGTCAGTTCGTGTGTTTCATTGGCTTCCAATCTAAGAGGCGACTGACCTTGTCATCGTAATTGTAATCGGTAGACATGGTGAAGCAAGTTCACAATGGACACGGTCGCCCGCAGCGGGCAGGACTGGAACAGAAAGAGTGTCTCCCGGACACTGAGTACCCTGCGTGACAGATATGTCCAGCAGATCAAGACAATTAGTATAGGATTCAAGTAGTATAATAGAGGAGCATTATCCCTCTGTCAGGCGTGACAAAAGAGTGTGGAAGGTGGAGGGAAGGTGAGAGAGCAGGCCGGAGTAACTGTCGACAAGATGGGATTATCCGCATCGGCGTCGGCTGTACCTTGTGATCGACCGTGTCCTTTACGGGGCCGTAGGGGAATACACCGCCTGCTTTATTGGGATTGGTGGCTTAGTCCCAATTATTCAGGCTTTCAGGGTCATGTGCTTAGTTTTGGGTCTACTTTTGACTTTTAGCTAACTAGTCCTCCGGAAGGCGTGACTAGTTCGTCGATGACTCTATTGCGATGACTACATTTTTTCTTAACTAATTGCTCTGTTGTATGAATAAATCAATATGGTGACATTTTTTTTTTGACTAATGTCAGGCCGTACATACTGTTACTGTACAGCGCTCAGGTCTATCTACTAGGATACAGGAAAATCTCCGGGTTTAGGTATACAAGCATGTCACATCCAAGCTTCATTTCATCATAAAACTGGTATCCCTCTTTTTTGTGTATCCCAGGAATGGACAACTTTTAACGCCATCCCAAACTTTTTGGCAATTTTCGTTTCCTCATAAATTTCGAGCATCAGAGCCAGCTCTGGGTATTAGCGTGGGAACGGAGGTCCCCTACACGCTAGACAGACGGAAATGCAAAAAGAAATCCGCACAATGTGAGTCACTTACCCGCTTCGCAGGGAATTCCAGCGCCAAAATGACCGGAGACTGGGTCGGGCACGAACTCGACCCACGAAAGCGACTAAGCCCTCGCCATGGCAGACCCTCTGATCTCGACGTTGCAAGCGTGCCGGTTTCCTCCATGCCAGCGTTCACATGGCCAAGCCTTTCAAAAGACCAATCCAATCGCGCCTCGCCCTTCTCACAGGTAGAGGGGATCTTCATTGCTACAAGTCATTGACTTGGGTCCTCCATTGAAAACTGGTTCTCGCGCATTTATTGCGAGAGCTGGTATTGTTCTGGTTTCGCTGATGTCGGATTTTGATTTTCGATAATGTCGGAATGGGGCCCGTTGGCGATCGATTAAGTTTTGCGTGCCATTTGGGTATGCCTTCGTTTCCCTTTTTTGGTTTTGTTGAAAAATATTTTTTCCACCGCCTGGACGACAATTATAGGATTGCTGCAAAAGAAAGCCCAATGGCGTCTGCAGGATTTAAGTCACCCAGGTAGTGCGTTTAAGGATTGTGGACTATGAGGGAACTGTTAGTCATTGTTCTTCCAGTGCTAGAATTTGAGTCAAGACAACTCACCAATCGATATAGTCGAGTCCACCGAAGTACTCCAACATGCGATAACAGAGACCAACATCGTCGCCCGGGACGCCGCCAAAGAGACGATACTGTTCCGCCTCCAGCGTAGAAGCCTCCATCCTCAGCGCACGATCACGCTTCTGCCCTAGCAAATGCCCATAGTGCCAGGTCGGGGCGGGTATTTCAGGACAGTCGAAAGCGGAGGGAACAGCTGGAGCGCAGGTATTGACAGGTCGTGGAAAAAAAGGGTGGGACGGAAGTAGATTGACGCTGCGGTTTCGAGATCGGGGTCGTGTGCGACGTCGATTATGTCTCTGGCCCATTCTCCGTCCAATCCGGCGAAAAAGAGGATATATAGCTTGTTGAAACTTTTTTATTCTTTTCGGGGTGTAGGTCGTAAAGGTGTAGTAGGGGAAGCGGGTATCTTCAAGACAATAGTCCCCAGTTATAAAGAGGGGATCTATTGTCCGAAGAGGTCTTTTTTTATAATAAGACGATCAGAAAGGAAGGAGTGACCATCACCCCTGGGAAGGATGAGATGAGGTGAGGAAAAAAACCCAAGCCAAGGGGGGATCAGGAGATCATGAAGCGGGAGTAAGCGTATATATAGATGTGGATGGTGGATGGAGAATGGCGCAACCCGAACGATTGCCGAAACGGGGAAAGCAGTGGTGTGACTCACTACATCCCAATAAGGTTACAAAGACACACAAAGCAGGACGAAAATCTTCACATCCGGCTCGGGGGGATCCACTCAAGCATCCCCCTACTGTCGGGAGTGCCAACTCCACTCTGATGCAGTCTAGAAGCAGAAATACCTAACCCTGCTTGCCGATGGTGAAATGTGGTCTCATGGAGAAGGGCGATTGCGTAGTGATTTGGCTCGCACCAAATCATCTCTAGTGGCCCTACGGAGCACAAGGGCGCGACTCCGTAAGTACAAGAAGTTTCACGAATTAGGGTTCTCCTGAGTCACTACTCCCCGACAAAAAGTCTAGTTACTTAGTCTACTACTATTCTTGGTTATACCCTTTTCTTTCTCTTTCCCTTGCCTCCTCCCATCGTGATGGAACCAGTAAGAACTATTCGCTGCCTTCCACAATAAGTGAGAAAATTCTGGTTCAGCCTAGCTGCCTAACACAAATAAAATCTTTGATTGAGTTCTGTGCGCCTGGCAAAGGAAACAGAAACAGAAGAAGAATTTTAATGCGGCCCAGTCAGTAGTACCCACGGTGCAACTTAATCGGAATAAACGGAATTATTAGACCATCAGGAGACGTTGAACAAAGGGTCAAAAGGGAACCGAATAAAGAATAATAAAAAAATAAAATATATGTTGCCAAATATTTTCCCAAAAATGCAGTGGTCTGACGCCATGCAGAAGGATGTTCTCGGCCCCGAATGAGCCAAATTTTCTCTGCAATGAGCAAACAAGGTACTCCTGTTACGATACCAAAACCCGTCTCCGATGCCGCTGCCCCCAGTTATGATGTCATGTGATCTCGATCGACATGGTTTTCTCTTAGTCATATCTATATCCACGCACTTTCTTTTTCCTTTTTGCAGGAACACATTTGAAACCCACGAGGACTCTGGTTACAACCACGCACCTTGCTCAAGCCGTTTCAGCCTGGCGAGTGGCGAGGGGTGGATGCCGTACGGGCCGAGCGGGTATTATGACGCGCCAAAATTACCTTGCATTAGTCGAGTCCAAGGCAGTTTAGTGTTCAATCACTTCAGTCAGTCAGGAGATGACAACAACATCCTACCACGGCTGCTTCGGCAGCATCTTTCACTACGGAGGAAATCGGACATCTTTTGGTTCAGTTGTCAAACTTGTCAGATTTTGTTTCCTATTTACTCCGCGCGTCGATCTATAGCGGCATGGCTGATAGATGGTACTACTAGTAGTACTTAGATAGTACTAGCAGTAGTCTTTATTGTGCGGGAATCGATCAATAATTCTAGATCCAATTTTCCCTTTTTGTCGATCAATTGTTGACGGGACGGAACAACTAACTATACGGGTGCTCCCTTTTCGATTATCCCAATAATAAATATTAATGCCTCAACACAGCCGAAACCGCATCAATAACATCCTACCCAACCATTTAAAACTAACTAACAAGGTATATCCCTCAATCTTAGCAAATTCTCGTCCCCCACAAACTCAATCACCTTGGGGGCAACAAAATAGAGGGACAAGAAATCTCTGCAGATCTCGGTACGAAAAAAGAAAAAGTAAAAAAAAAAAAAAAAAAAGGCCGCAAAGGGAAGAAAAATTCTGCTTTGACCGACTTTCGTGGCTCTAATCCGGCCTTGACACATGTCCCATACTATACTCCTTTGGCATCGATAGTTATTCTTTGTGCAGCATGAGTGCTTTTTGTTTGTTCCTGGCGAACGGACCCGGACAAACCATTTGCGATATGCGACTACGTAGCGCGTGGCTGGCAAGCCATCTGGCAAGACAGGTTCTCTAGTAAGATGCATGCCTGAATATACTGCAGTAGTGGATATCAAAGTTTTACTGGCATCTACTTGACTTGGGTAGTTTTATGCCTGAATCACGGAGTAGAGTTCCTGTTCAAGTTGTTTGTTTATTGTTGGTTGGTTGGTTGGGTAGGTAGGTAGGTAGCTGCAGGGCAGACAGGATTGAAGCAAACTGCGAACCTAGTACCACTAACCCATACTACTAAACTGATATGCATAGCTATAGCTATGAAGCTATAGTATAACTACTACCCTGCTCCAACCACAACCACGTAGTCCCAACGAACGTGGTCCATCTAAACATCACATCTACTTCGTTTTCACACTGGCAAACAAACCATCCTCTCCCTCTCTCTCTCTCACTCACAGAAAGACAAAGCCCTATCGCACTAAACCAACCAACTAACCGACCCCCAAACTTGTGTCCACTGTCCAGCTCTACGTGGGCACACTGGAACTACGTACTAACTCATCCCATCTCCTTCCGTCTTCCCCGAGACTCCATTTCCAACACTACTACTTACCGTCGAAGTCCCATTTTCTCTTCTAACCCCCGCAAATGGAGAACACGATGAACTAACTAGTGACCCATCCAAACCCTTCCATCCCCTCCCCCTTTTACCACAGTTTATTATTACTATTATTATTATTATTGCTGCTTGCTGGTGGTAGTGGTGGTGGTGGTGTTGTTGTTGTTCACGCATGAATAACAAAAAGTACTACTACTACGTACCTTGCAAGCCCTAGGGCACGGCAAACCTACTCCACCCCTCCACACTACTATCTACCGCCCCCTTTTGTGGCTTTTATTCACGATGGGGGCGTAAGGACTAAGGGGGAAAAAATGAATATGTGGACATTTTGCGTGGGTGGGAAATCTTGGCCTGGAAAGATCGTGGATTTTCTAGACTGTGAGGGAAAGGCTAGGTCTAGACTAGAAGTTCGGGAGAGGAGGAAGGGATGGTGGAAGGATGGGAGCGGTTAGTTGCGGGATGGGATGGGACGGACAACTTCGTTTGTGTGTTGTGTTGTGTCGTGTTGTTGCTAATAATGGAGATGAGGATGTGCCTGTGTATGTGTGCCTGAGACGGGAATGATTGTTTCATGTGGTGGTCTTTATTCGTGTTGTGTTTCGGGGTTGCGTTGGTTCCTTGGTTGAGGATATGAGGTATGACAATGGGTGGTAGTAGGTATCTAGGTAAGTGATGATGGGATTTTTGCTTTTGCTTTTGGCCTAATGAGTACTACTGGTGTGGTAGATACTTTTCCCGGTTATCCAAGGAGAATGGAGATGAGGATGGGATACACACTACGTAGGTATGGAGGGTGAGGGAAAACGCCTCTGACGGAATCGAGACTGCTGAGGGGAATGAACAAGATGGAGAGCATTCCTGTTCAGCAACCAATCATGCCATTTTGGTGTGACTCGGTAATTGAAGGTGGTACAGCAACGCTCCACACAAGCAGAAATGCGAAGAGGGTCTAGACTGGCTACATCATCGTCATACACTGACGGGAAATGGAGAAATTGTGAAACGAGAGTCGCTCTTTGTCACCGCCAAGGCAAAATCGAATCGTTGACATGACGGCTCGGCTAATTGTCGATCCCGCGCCGGATGATCTCCAGCATTTCCTCGCCCTTTGGCGCCGTTGTCAGATTCTCATACCCTGTCCGAGTGACCAGGATGTCGTCTTCTATCCGCACGCCACCAATGGGAATGTATTTCTCGGCCTCCTCGAAGTTGATGTACTGCGCCTGAGGCAGTTTCCGGGTATTTGCCAGAGCCAGCTTGGAAAAGTAGACGCCTGGCTCGATGGTGACCACCATGCCCTCCTCGAGCAAGGGGACTGACTGGCTCATGGCTGGGATGAAGTCAGGTCTGCAAGGTCTGTTAGGCAGCCCCATGCCCGTGATTGGCTTCTCGGACACGTCGTGGACTTCCAGTCCAACGTGATGGCCCAATCCGTGAGGAAAGAAAATGGCCGACGCCCCCGACACGCGAATCTCCTCCACGGTGCCCGGTTTGAGGACACCTAGCTTCTGCAAGCCCTTAATGGCTATGTCGTGGGCAAGCACCTGCAAGTCGCGGAACCGCACACCTGGCTTAATGCGCTTGATACACTCCTCCTGCATCTCTTCTACGATTTGGTAGACGTCGCGGGCATATGAACTGGGCCAATCGGCGGCCAAAGGAAAGGTGCGGGTCACGTCACTTGCGTAGCACTCCCACTCTGCACCTGCGTCCAGACAGACCAGCTGTCGTCCTTTGAGGGGCTCGTTGTTCTTCACATAGTGGAGGGTGGCTGCGTTGGGTCCCGAACCAGCAATGATTTCGTATGCTTGGTTCTTCGCTCCGTGCGACACGCAGGTGTCGAGGAAAAGGCCTTCGATCTGGGCTTCATTGGACATCTTGTGGATTTTCTCGAGCACTTTGCGATGGGCCAACCCGGATATCTTGTTGGCGTGGCGGATCATACGAAGCTCATAATCATCTTTAACCACCCGCGCCGCATCCATTGCGGGCAGCAAGCGCTGATCATCTAGGTTCAGCTGCCGGAGAATGAATTGGGGCTGCTGAGAGCTATGAAGGATGTAGACTGGAGCGGCATGATTGTATTTCTCTACCCACGACTGAATATCGCTCTGTAGGGAAGCATAGTAGCGCACTTTGTCTACGTCAAACCGCCGTTCAGCCTCGTCTGTGGTCAACGTGGGCCCCATCCATATTGCGCGGTGCAGGTCAAAGTCTGGAACATAGAGAACCAGTAAGTCATTGTTGATGTCGTAGGTGAGAAAGCAGTCCGGCTCATCGGCTCCACTAAGATAGTAGAAGTACCGTCGCTGTCGAAAGGGTTGTGGTTGGTCGGAATCGCCCCAATTGATGGTTGGTTTCCCAACCAGGTAGATAAGGCCGCTGGACACACCCAGCTTCATTGCGACTTTGCGCGCATGTTGTTTGGCTGCGCCAAGACTTCCTGTTAGTCTTTGGGGCGCCCCAGGATTAACGCAGGAGAAGAATGACAAGGCGAGGGAGGAAAGAGTATATATCTTGGGGTCACAACATGAGACATACCTGGATACTTATCGATCCCTTCGCCGCGCACCGTTACGCTGATATCGCAGGCACCAAGGCTCGAGACAAGCTCCGGCGGGATTGAAACACGCATCCTGTTGCTTACCACGGTCTACAGGCAGAAAGGGGAAGGGAGGACCTATACAGACAGGCCTGTCACAGAGGTGAGGGACCCGAATGAAGGCACAGGAAGGGAGATAGAGGGACTGGAGGAGATAAGACAGCGCTTAGAAAGCGAGAGGAGGGAGAAAGAGGGAGAGGAATGACAGCCAGCGATAGCGTGTCTCTCTATCGGGTTTAGACAGGGTCTCCGGCGGAGTCCTTCGGTCTTGTATTATTACTGCCGTGGAACAGCTAAGATACCAGAAAAAGGGTGTGACTGATGGCATGGCCAGACTGTCCATACAGTATCTTACAGACAAGAGATACGTCCTTAATGTGAGATGACTGAAGAGTGACGGATGATTAAGTTCCCTGATCAGGCATCCAAAGGGACTCTTGGAGTGCCCTCATCCCTTTTCCCTGGACTGCTTGGGACCTTGCATGGACAGTTATTTGGGGGAACAACTTAGTTGGCCAGCAGACATATATAGGAGTGTATCTGATCTCAAACGTGGCCCATCTAATTCCTGTATCTCCTTTAGGAGTTCACAACATGGCTTGAGTGCTGTCATCCGGAAGCATCGAGCGCATCGCCCGGAAGCGTCGCTGCCTTTTCGCCCCCCACATGCGCCTCTCTCAGTCTCTCTCTCGTCCTGGGCTTCTGCTTCTGGTTTCTTGGTCCCGACCTCCAACTCTCCCCATTTGAAACTCCCTCATCATCGCTCCTCATCTCTTTCCCACTCCTCTGCAATTTTCCCCATCTCTCATTCCTTCCCTTCCCCTACGCCTTTCATCTACCCGCCATTTCCCTAGTGTCGCTTTCCCTCCTTATCTATTACTATTCGGCTTAGCGTTACCATCTCTCCTCTCCGCCAGCGAGTCCGTATCGACGCAACATTTCCATCCAGTCAATGAACGATGCGGGGATCTGAGGCATCGGGGCCCGGTGCTCTCTTTGATGCTCCCTCGACTCTTGCCACGTCCCTTGTTGGAATCAATCCCACCGCTGCTCCTGAACCCCCTCCGACCGATCCCAAATTAGTCGCCTCCAACATCGAGCATGTCTTATTGTCCATGTCAGAAGGCAATGGCGGTCTAGTTAGCGTCAGTGGCAACTCGTCGGGGTCTACCGGCAAGGGTATCCTGATAGGCGTCCTCTCTGCCTTTGGGTCCGCTGCCGTTGCAGTGCTTGTACTCGCCGTCTTCTTTTTCTTCAAATACACTCAGCGTGGTAGAATCATTCTCGATCGCATCGGCCGACCGGGTGAATTCGACGATGAACAAGCGTTTGCGCGCGAGGAGGCGGAAGCCTTGGAGACGATGGATGATCTCACGCGATCGGAGTATATGAGAGCGAAGGGTAAGTCACCGGCTCTTTGTCCATTCTCTTGGGCGAACGACGACCATGGGGTTTTGTCAAGCATGATGTATGTGCACTTGTCGCTAATACACGACAGCGTTCATCGAAGCCAATCCGCCCGAGTCCGTACAAACCGACATATCGCTCTCTCAATTCCTCGCGATTCAAGAAAAAGGAGTATCGGCCTGGGAATTCCAGCCAGAGCTGGAAATTGCCAATTGCTTTGTTGAAGGCCGTACGGAAATTGAGTTCTACGACTCGGAATGCAGTGTCCAGACCAATCTGCCTGTTCCGAAACAAAATGACGTTTATTACTGGGAGGCTAAGATATACGACAAACCTGATAATACTCTTATCAGTATTGGGATGACTACAAAACCGTATCCCTTGTTCAAATTACCAGGTGCGTCTTTGGGTGTCTTGTTGAGGGGGGTGATACCGGTCATCCGACGGTCGCTAATATTGTTCCTTATGATGTCAGGCTTCCACAAGACTTCGGTCGCATACCAGTCCACTGGTCACAGGAGACACAACCAGCCGTTTGCACCAACACCATATGGTCCTCACCTTCTGCAAGGTGATGTGATTGGCGTAGGGTATCGACCTCGCTCGGGTACCATCTTCTTCACTCGCAATGGCAAGAAGCTGGAGGACGTCGTTCACGGTCACAAAGCGCAAAACTTCTTCCCCACTGTTGGAGCCAATGGGCCTTGCTCTGTCCATGTGAACTTTGGTCAGATGGGTTTTGTGTTCATCGAGGCCAACGTCAAGAAATGGGGTCTGGCCCCTATGACTGGTAGCCTGGCTCCGCCTCCGCCTTACGGCAGCGAGCAAGGCAGTATCCTACTAGAGTCGGGTCGGGAGAGTGCAGCTCAGATTTCCCAACGGGTCTACCAGGATGCCAATAATGCACGCACCAGTTCGACTGTCCGTGTTGCGCCATCTGCCAGTCCCGGCCCTGTGCGGTCACCCACCGACATTTCCTTGGCTCAGCTTGCCCACATCCCGTCTAACGAGGACGTTGGCGAAGGATCCAGTCGCACCAACGTCGTCGATGGTGAGCAAGTCCCCTTGTTGCATACAGAGGATCTCGACCAAGTCCCACCTCCCGAGTATTCCAGTCCGGACGGCAGTCGGAGAGGCAGCGAGGACCTGCACTCTGACGAACAGCCTCCGATACCTAGCTACGACGCTGCTGTTGGCAACCGCGACGGTCACGGCACGCATCCCAACGAGACTCCCTGAATGGCGACTGAGGTCCTGCATATATTGTTATCATTTATCCATCAGTTATTGGCGCAGCGTCTCTTGATGTGTATACGGCATGTTTCAGCCACTGGTTCTATTTCTACTACTGTTCCCTGATTTTAGCGGCCACGGTCGGCGTTCCACAGGCGGGATTCTACGGGTGAGGTTTCACGGTTACGCCGCTAGACGTGGCAATGATGAATTTTACGTATATAGGGTCTGGTCGTTTCTGTCTTCATTTTTGTCATTTGGAACAATTGTCTCGGTTGAGGTCGTGGACACCTTGCAGGGCCGAATTCATAATGCTCACGTTCCCTTCGAGTTAAGGCGGTTGGCAAGGGTCTTCTTGGCCTTGACCGACCGAACGAGAGGATAATGCTGTTCCAATGATAACCTTGTTTCCTTGCGCAATTCATGTCAAAAATGGGTGCTATTGAACTGGGTGAATTTATCGCGGTGTTTGTCTGGGAGTACGTTTTTCATGGCTGAACACATACAGTGGCTATTTATATCATTCCTTGTCTGCGCTTCCCTGTATTTTCTTGTGTATGTGTAGCAATCGAGTGGTCATCTGCTATTGCGCCGCTGTATAACCAGCGGCAATGAAATATTTTGCATCAAGAATACTGGCAATCAGGTAGCACGGCGTATAATAACCAAGTAAGAAAACAGTAGTTTGTAGTACCGGTCCATCCATTGCCCCATTCCCCCACATGTTCGACCCCATAAATGTTATTCATTATTACTGCTATCTATTTAGCTAGTATTATACTAACTGTATCTATATTTATCCAGTGATATTCAGCGCTGGGATTATTTCCGGGAACAAGGCTCTTTCTCGGTCTTCTGTTGCTCCTTCCGCAACCAGCGCGTCATCGATCAGTGCCAGTCAGTGACTACTCTCTGCTCAACCTTCCCCCCAATCTTTCTCTTCCTTTTTCATCCTCCACATTGAATTTCTCCGTTCGCACGCAAGATATGCATCTCCAGATACCCACTAGACGACGTCCACCGGCACTGCATCGCACGATTATCTTCGTCCTTGATCTTCCATAGACTGATTCAACTGACTTTGCTGGTTATCTTCTCTCAACGCACATGATAGAGTTTCGGTTCCTCCCCTGTCCCTTGGCTGGTCCTCGTACTGCAATGGCTCAATTTCCCTGCTGCGTTTCCCGGTCGGACATTGCCTCCCATTAACCTTATCTTCTCCCAAGTTGAATCACTCAGCAGATTTGAAGCAACAACAGTCACCAATATATTGACTTCACACGAGTCATTCGTATAACAGTTACTTGTCTCACTTTAAACAATACCTCTTATCACTCATTGGCTCCTAAACAAGCTCGCTCAATTTTGCTTTTGCCGCCAACGGTGACTTCCGACTTCCCCTCCAGCCACTGAATCATCTGTTCAGCCCCGGCCGTTAGCGTGCTGCAGGTGCCCAGTGGCGAGCGAGTGACCGCCAACAACTGGTGCGCTAACTGGCCTGGCGCGACGCAGCTTTGCCCCAGATTCACGGGGAAGTGCCGCCCCCAACAGTGGACGCGCTGGGGGGTTTGGCAACCTTTTGTCGCATAGGCCTGGCTGCCAGCCTGACCGCTAACTAGGTTGAAAAGCATCACGCAGCTCTCCAAGCAGAACGGGGAAAGTTTCTTCACCTCATCCTCACCACACCTCTCGACTTGACGTACACTAAATCGAGGAAGTTACAGCCGCCCACAGCCACATCTGCACAATCAAGCGAGGTTGGTGTGCATTCAATATCTGCGCTCAGCCGCCCTAGGTGGAGTATATGCATTTTGGCCCTTGCTTATTCTCCGGCCAGATACGCAGTGCAACAACGGCGATAGTTTCCAGTTTGTGGGAACTGCTTTATAGCTTCATTCCGATAAAAAGCGTAAGGATCGCCTGGTCCAGATCCTTGGGGGTATCCACACAAGGTCCGGCCGCTACCCCAAGTGGTTCTCTGAAAAAGGGCTAGAGTTCGTCCGGAAGGGCTATTTTACTGGGATTCCAACACATCCCATCGATTGCTGGTTCAATTGAAGCCCTGGCGACTTCTGCCTTGAGCCAAATTCATATTCAAAAATGCAAGAGTCTGAATTGCCTTTTGTAGGCGCAAATCCTCCAGAAGCAGTTGGCCAAGGTGATGGACCTGGTCCTCCAAGCCTGCAGATAATCGTGCTGGTAAGTTTTGTCTCACATGCTGTGTTTGTCAGTCCCGTGTGGTCATGACGTTGTTCTTTACACATGATTTCGAACCCTGAAAGTCTGCCTACTGGCGAGTCCGATCACTAGCATCGATGCGCCATGTCTCTCACTTCTCCCCGCGCTATGTTCTCGAACTCTCACTGCACCTCAACCCATTTCATCGCTGGCGAGTTTCGCATTCAAGGTCGACCACTAACGCTTCCCTTGAAAGGGTCCGACAGGGGGTCCCCGTGAGGATAGAGTCACTGGACTTCTGGTCCGATCCACATTTACCAAATGGTCCGCAAACTCGATAGTAGCTGTTGATGCGGGCACCCTTCTATGTGGCAT